TAATGGGATATAAGAAATATTTCAAGAGAAAATAGATAAGAATATATCAAAATTGATGACAGATTCTAGACTCAGTAAATCTAAAGCAGAATAAATAAAAAGAAAACCACAATGTAGGCACATCATACTTAAACTGCTAAAAGCAAAAGATAAAGAGAAAATGTATTAAAAATAGCTAGAAAAAATGCATTAGATTTAGAACATCAATATGAATTGTAATTGACTTATCTCCTTATCAGTATCAATAGCCCAGAAGACAATGGAATGACATCTTTAAAAGGATTTTAAAACAAACAAAAAACCGTCGACCTAAATTAGTATGCCCAGTGAACAAAAATGCCCCCAAAAACTAAAAATGAATTAAAGACATATTCAGAAAGAATATTCAGACAGAATTGGTTGTCAGCAGATCCACAGTACAAGAAATGGTAAGGAAAGAGAGAAGAAATGCTATAAGAAGTTCTTAAAGCTGAAGGGAAATGATCTGTTATGGATACACTTCTCTGCAGAAAGTAATAAAGAACACAAGAAAGGATAAAAACTGTTTACCTAATTTTTAAAAAGACACTTCTCAAAGCTGAAGGGAAATGATCTGTTATGGATACACTTCTGTGCAGAAATAAAGAGCACAAGGAAGAATAAAAACTGTTTACTTAATTTTTAAAAAGACTATTAACTTTTTAAAAGAAACAACAATGATAACTATTTTGGAATGTAGACATGTGAAGAAGCAACATTAGGATAATAATGATATAAGGGAGAAAGAGAATTATGCTCCTGTAAGGTATTTACATTGTTGTGAAACTGTAAAGTACTAATTCAAGGTAGACAATAATAAATTATAGATCTCTAGTAATCATTAAAACATAATAAAAGTTATTTAAAAAATAATTGAGGAAAATGCAATAATAAAATTTTTTTAAAATGCTACTTTGAATTTATGGTAATTACTATGAACTTAAAATGTAATGTTAAACCTAATGGTGTTTTCCCTACATAAGTCACTATGTGATACAATTGCATTCTGTTTTTCATGTAATGTTTTCCTGGTCTTGTTTGAAATAAAAAAATGCAAACAGCTGATGAAGTGTAAGCTTTATTTATCCTAATATGGTGAGGTATGCAGCTACAGATTAAGGCTCATCGAAGTGTTGGATGAGCCCGAGGATTGCAATTATGTGATGCTTTAAGAATCGGAGGTCATGGTGGCCTTGCTCCACCCTGTGATGAAGGGAGAAATATTTAGATATCTAACTAAAAATGTGTCAACTCTTCCAAATGTGCCTGTCCCAAAAATGCTGTCTGTCTACTTTTGCCAAAAATGAAGGGTTGATCACTGCAGTTAGAGCATTCTTTAGGAGGCCTGTTGCAGATGAAACCGGTGTGTTACTCAGATGCTCATGATCTGTATTTCCTATCTGATCCCCCTGCCCTCAGCAGCTTTATGATGATCTGCCTGGTCCCTGAGATTCATCAATATACCCTTTGCATGAGCAAGACACTGTGAGCTATAAATTATCATAATTAGCCCTAAGTATATCTGCTCCTCATTTTCTAAGATTCACTTATTATTTCCCAAATTTATCACTTCTTCAAACATTTACAGTGCTTGGTTATATTTGCATTTTGCTTGATTTCTCAGACAAATTATGCTACTCCATGCAGCCATTTAGATGATATATTCATATTGGCATGGAAAAGATGTCTATGACATATTTTTGAATGGGGAAGAGAAAGCAGTTTATGGAGCAGTATTGATGTGATATATACAGATGGGAGAATTTCTACTTTATACAATAGTGTGTTATTTAAGCTTTTACACTTACTAATACACTGTATAATAATTTTTAAAAAATTGTTTCATGTATGCAGTTAATACTGTATATTTATTCAAATCAACCCTATTAATGTTTTTAAAGAAATAAACCTAAACAATTCAGAACTAGAGAAAGTTTGGGGTACCTATAAGCTCTTTCCGAATATGGTACATGGAGGGCAGTCGGCTGTACGATCAGTGGTGATCAATTACAGTTTTATAAGTAGGCATGTATATACTAGAACTACAGGAATTTATTAGAGGTTTTCAGTATTGGTTTTGTCACAGAAGAGAAAAAGCTTAAAGCCTAAAATTAATAAAGAAAGCAATAACTGTTTTGATATCTGTGTTGATTTCATCTATATTACACCCACCAGAATGTACCCTGTCAAATTATAAAGAATTTAGTGAAAAACTCTTAACACCTAATTATCAAAGCAGCCTAAAGTTATTTTTATCATAAAGCACAACATTTAAAAATAAAGTTCATATTTTCCTGAAATACTTTGATTTTTTAAAAAAGATTTTATTTATTTTTACAGAGAGGGGAAGGGAGGGAGAGAGTAAGAGAAACATCAATCAGTGGCCTCTCACATGCCCCAACCCCAACTGGGGACCTGGCCAGCAACCCAGGCATACGCCCTGACTGGGAATCAAACTGGCTACCTTTCGGTTTGCAGAATGATTCCCAGTCTACTGTGCACAGCAGTCAGGGCTGAAATACATTGGTTTTTAAAAATAAATTGACTACCTTGCTCTAGTTAATGTTCAAATCTAGAATGACTCTCAGTCTGGAACCACAAAAGGATCAATGATAAAATTCCAGAAAGTTTTATTAAAGGTGATTTAGAAATCTAGGATTCCTAGAAGTATAGGCAGTATGAGGAAACAGACTTTTTTCTTATCTCCTTCTCTTTTTGTACTTTCATAAATATCAGCGTGCTTTACAAATGCTATAGGATATGCTAAATATAAGACAGGACAGCTGAGCTGCATATCAAAATTTAATTGTTCTGAGCCATAAGGCCCACAATTGGATGTTTCTGAGACATTATCTCTTTTCATCTGAGAGCTTTTTGAGGGGTGAAACAGCTCGGATCACATATTGGGTAAGAGGTACCCAATCATCCTTTTAGTTCAATTCCACCTAAACCCAAAAAGAGCTAGGTAAGCTTAGAGATACTTTGAAAGGAGTTGCATACTCATACCAAATTGGAAAATAAACTTTAAAAAAGATGTAAGTACAAGAACAGATTTACTACATGAAGTAACGCAATTATTTTTTTGTTATTGGGGATTGAAGTGTTCCAGTTAATCAAACATTCTGCTCCTGTAAAGTGTAATATTTGTCAGTCAGAGATCATGGAAGTCAATTATTTAAAATTTTTTTGGCTTTATTGAGATACAATTAACGTAGCATTGTATAAGTTTAAGGTGTAGAACCTGATGATTTGATGCACATGTATTGTGAAATGATTGCCACAATAGGGTTAGTTAACACATCAACCCATACCTTACATAAAAATACGTAAACCACTAAAATCTCTCAGAATTCCAGCATTTGACATGTTTACCTTACTATGTCTCTTGCTTTTTAAACCAACAATTGTTGAACATTCTTATGTTCTAGATGCTTTACATGTGCTAATTTCTTTAGTCCTTGTTGCGTCCCCATGGGGAATGTGCCCCAGGAAGCCGCTCCATTCTCAGCCACTGTCTCCTAGCTGGGTGGGGGTCCAATTGGCTTGTGAGAACCAGAGCCTACACTGCACTTCTCAGTGACTGGTCCACTAGCCTTGGTGGTGATTCAGTTATTCCTGAACTGATCATGGGTCTCCATGCTCCAGATTGATGTCCTACTTCCCCATCCTAATATAGGGTTTTCCCCTGAAGGTTATAAATTATTTCCATTGGAGGTTATAAATTTTTTCTCACTATCTCATTACTTCAAAAGCCAACTTTTTCCAATTTAAAAAATCCTGATAAAATAGACGTAAGATAAAATTTACCCTCTTAACTATTTTTTAAAAAAGCTACTTCAGTGAGTTTTTTAAAAAGATTTTTATTTATAAATTTTTAGAGAGAGGAGAATAGAGGGAGAAAGAGAGAGAAACATCAATGTTCATGGTGACCAGGCCTGCAACCCAGGCGTGTGCCCTGACCAGGAATTGAACCAGCGACCTTTTGTTTTGCGGGACAATGCCCAACCCACTTAACTACACCATTAAGGGTCTTCTTAACCATTTTTAAGAATGTATTAAGTACTAAGCCTACATTAAGTATTAAGTACATTCACATTGTTGCACAACCATCTCCACCATCCAGCTCCAGAACTCATTTCACCTTGAGAAAATAAACCTCAGTATTCATTAAACTACCCATTATGTCCTCTCTTAAGCCCCTGGAAACTATCATTCTACTTACTGTCTCTATGAATTTGACTACTCTAAGAACCTCATATAAGTGGAATCATTCAGTACCTGTTTTACTGTGTCTGGTTTATTTCACTTAGCATAAATCTTTAAGTTTCATCCATATTGTAGCAAGTATCAGGATTTCTTTCCTTTTAAGGCTGAATAATATTTTATTGTATGTGTTATGTACCATATTTTGTTTATCTATTCATTCATTAACAGATACGTGGGTTGTTCCTACCTTGTGGCTTTTGTGAGTAATGCTTCTATGAACATGAATATACAAAAATCTCTTCGAGATCCTGCTTACAATAGCTGTACCATTTTACATTCCTACCACCAGTGTACCAGGATTCGTTTCTCCGCATTCTCATCAACATAGTTGTTTCCTTTTTTTGGCGGGGGTGGGGAGGGGAGGACGATCTTACTGGGTGTGAGCAGCCAACTTCTTACACCCTTCTCTGTCATCACCTTAAATACTTCACTGAGACAGACTATATATGTTTTGACTAATACAAATAATTTCCTACTTTATAAGTGTAAAAATTATAAAAGTAGTTTTGTTGTAAGTCTAAATGGCCACAGATTCATTATGAATTATAGAGAGTAAAAAGAAAAAGGGAGGCCACTATTGAATGGAGATTATTCCCTCAAACTCCTCTCTACCACACTAACTCCATTTCTCTACTGACTTTAAACCTAAATTGAATTATGTGACTTATGACATAGAAGACACTGATTTTAATCTGCAGGTATTATTCTTTCCTCAGAAAATCCATTCCTCGCTGCCGAAGAATTAACAGGATGCTCTCGAATGAATCCCTACATCCTCCTGCGTTCAGCCGCTCCAACTCACAAGCCTCCGTAGACAGTGCCTCCATGGAGGATTTCTGGCGGGAAATAGAAAGTATTAAAGAGAACAGCATGGGAGGGCAGGATGAGCAGATACCAGCTGAGGTCAAGCCTGTGGATGGTAAGGTGCTAGATGCCTCTTGCTGTGTGCTGACTTACTGTCTCAGTATGCTCGCTCTTGTTCTGTTGGCAGGTAGAACACATCCCATTAGTAGTGTAACAAATGAATTTAGTAGGATTCAGCATATCAGCTACCTGTTCCTTTTGGTTTATATCTACTGCACTAATTCAATGTAGCTTCTATTTAAGGAGACGTGACCTAAAGGCAGGCTATCGACACAATTCAAACTGACCTCTTGCATATCTCTACTTAGGGAGGCTGCGCCTGTCAATTTGATTCAGTTTTAGAGACTCTGTATTCCATTATCCCCCTTTAATGGGGTTAATTTTAGTTCTAGCAGTTAACTTGACTAGACTCATACTCCTAAGTCTGTCTTCCCTGCCCTTTGCAGGATCTGTAATCTTGGTCATTCATTTAGCGTGCTAGCTTCTATTTTTTGATAAAGTAATTCAATACAATTAGAGTGAGTATTCTAACTTTGATGGCCTCTGCATCTATGTACCTGACTATTAATTATCAAAAGAGAGGGCGACAACAAGAGAGAGAGAGCGCAAGAGAAAGAGAGAGAGCAAGAGAGATGGAAAAAATTGCCAGTATAATTTTAAACAAAAAAAAAAATCTTTGAAGCATTTACTGATAATAATATATTTAGAGAATGTATTCTTTTGTATTACCCAAAATAAAAATCATAAAAATATACTAGTTCTCTGTAAAATTAAATAGAAGGTTAAGGACCAAAATAAATGAAAGTAGTAAGAGTGTAATTGCCTTTAGTTTTCAAAAAGAGCAAGATTGTTCACCTGAGATTGAAAGCATATGTCATCTCCTCCCGGTGCCACCTATCAACAAGTAAATACATAAGACAACAAGGAAAGACTGAAGGTAGTATATATACCACTGTCTAATATTATGTATACATATACACATGTACCTACATACTTGCATATATGTACTTATATGTATTTATACATCTCTACTTATATACTTATATCTATATTTCTATAATTAAAGACATTGAAACATTCGAGTTCACACCTGTACCTTCAATTTCAATATAATACCACTAGTTTCATTGTACTGTTCTCCCTTAACATATCTGTGACTTTCTTCTTAGACTGTGGCTTCCATCTTAAATATATAAACTTATTTATACTTATTTGATCAATCCCCCCCAACGGTACCAATTTTTCTCTGCCTCTCAAGGTTGCCCTTCTTATTTCAGGCTCCAACATCCCTAGACTACCCCTCTTCATATATACCTGCCTGGCTGTACTCCAACTAATGGCTTTAGGCTTTAGGACAAAACAGGCAGAAGAGAAAATGACCATCTGTCTTTAAAAGAAGTTAATATCTACATATTTAACATTTAAACTACTTTTTTTAATATATATTCAGTATCCACCTCATGCCTTTTCCATTTAGCCTAAAAAGAGCTATCTGTAGCATATTTTTAGAGAGCAAGTTTGCTGGTGATAAATTCTCTTGATTTTTATTCACCTGAAAATGACTTTATTTCACCTTCATTCTTGAAAGGTATGCTTGCTGGATATCTAATTATTGTTTGACAGGTTTTTTTTCTTTCAGGATTTTTAAAAATGTTATCTTATCCTCTTTTGACATCCATTATTTCTGATAAGGAGTCAATGTATTCATATTATTGTTCCTCTGTATGTAATGTGTTGTCTTTCTCTAACTTCATTCAGATTTTCTTTCTATCTTTGGTTTTCAGCAGTTTGACTTTAAAATGCCTAAGTGCACTTTCTTTTGTATTGATCTACTTGCTAAACTAGTTGGGTTTTCAGCAAATTTTGGAAAGTTTCAGAAATTATTTCTTCAAATATTTTTTTCTGCACTACTCTCTCTCTTCTCTGAAACTTCAACTACACATATATTACACAACCTAGCATTTCCCTTAGATCACTGGGGAATGTTTCAAATATGTAAAAATATTTTTCTTTCTTTCACATTGGATAATTTCTATTGATTATTCCAAGTTTAATGCCCTATTAAGTTCTCTAGTATGCTGTTAGGCCCTTTCAGCAAAATTTTTATTTAATATATTTTAATTTTCAGTTCTATAATTTAAATTTTAGTTCTTTTAGATATTTTTATACTTTTACTTTTTGCTATAATTTTCTGTGCATTCGTTATGAGCATCTCTTCCTTTGTTCTTGAGCATAGATATAAAGGCCGCTTCAAAGTCCTTGTCCAATTTTAGTTATCTGAGTCACTTTCTATAAACTACCTTTTCTTTCATAAATTAATCCATTTTTTCTCTTTATTATATCCTAGATATTGTAACTTTTTTATAATGTAATAATATTATGACATTATTAATATGTTTCAGGGATTCTGTACTCCATTATTTCCCTCTACTGGGGTTAATTTTAGTTGTAGCAGTTAACTTGACTAGACTCATACTCCCAAGTCTGTCTTCCGTGCCCTATGCAACATCTGTAATCTTGGTCATCCATTTAGTCTTCTAGCTGCTGTTTTTCAATAGGATGCTTGGTCTCCCATGTACCTTCTTAGTTTAAGGTTTAGTCAAGGATTTGGTCAGAGTTTATGCACAGATTTTGAAGTTCTTTCCTCTGTGACTCTCTTTTAACAGGGATATGTCTCTCACTTTCCAGCTGTTCTGATAATCCCGTACTCTATGCTCTGACTTTTCAAATACGTAAAACTGTGATTTTCTGTTTGAGTTCTAGCCACCCAGCACTATAGGAGCTGGAGAATGACCTCAGTTTAAAGTTGTATGAATGTGAATCTCACCCAGTGTGTTTTCTTTTATCAAAATTTAATTGTTTTTCAGTTCCTGCCTGCACTTGTTTCCTCTCCATTACCTTCAAATAGCTAGTTTTATGTACTTGGTTCAGAGTTCATAATTGTTATACACAAGCTACTCTACCTTTCCTGGAAGATTTTATTCCCTCTTTAATGTGGTTCCCCAACAAACTTTCTAATATGGTGGATTAGTACAGAATGGCAGACCTCAGGTTCACCTCTGCATTTTCTGATAAAGGGAATGTTTATAAAGCAACTGAACAATAAAAACAAGAAAGTAAGTACAAGATTTACCCAGCTAAGAAACTGGACCTATGAAGCACATTAGAAGGCTTTGTTCACATACCAATGATGCAATAATGTAAGCATAGTCCAAGAATCCTAGACTGATATTTTGAAGAGCCTATTTACGAATCAGTCTAACCTGCTTGTTAGACAAACCCCATTCAGGAATGCTTGTTTAGCATAGTTCCCAAATTTGTATGTGCAATAGATTTTCTGTTACAAAATGTTGTTATTTGGAATTATTGTTTTTTTGTACTTCTAATTTACAACAGCAATTGATTCTTATTCTTACAAATTTTACATTTTTTAAATTGCCTTCTGAAAAATAGAAGACTACCTACTGTTTAGAACAAGGAGAAAAGTAAGAGAACAAATATCTATTGAACGTATACTCTGTATAACTACATTGATAAAACAATCTTCATGGCCACCTAATAATTTTGTTACTATTACTTCTTTTTTGTCAAGAGGACACTGAGCCCAAAGTTATCTGAAAACTTTCCTAAGTCTTTCACCTAGTAAATGGTAACGTTGGGGTTTGAATCTGTATTTGAGTGATTAAAAAGCTATTTTGCGTGCTATTAAACCTTTCTTTTTCTATTATAGTTTTAGTTTAAATATTCATATTTTTATCTTTTTTTGAATTGATAGTCCAGATATGGCTTATATTTAACTGACAAGGAAAAATGCCTTATCCAATCTGCCAATTAACCTTACTATACTAAAAAATACTTTAAAATTTGACTTATTTAAAAAATAAAATACAGACTTTTTATTCATTTTATAGGCCTTTCCCATACTTTGGAAAAAAAAAAAAGGACAGTCTTAATATATTGCTTACTGATGTTTCTTATTCAATGATATGCAAGACCAAGATATACATGCCATTCAATCAGACAGAAAATGTTCAGCCTTCTCTTGGTCATGTCATTTTACAGAAGGAGAACTTGAAGCAGAGTGGTTGCAAGATGTGGGTTTATCAACCCTGATCTCTGGTGATGAAGAGGAGGATGGCAAAGCCTTGCTCTCCACATTGACTCGAACCCAAGCAGCTGCAGTGAAAAAGAGATACAATACTTACACACAAACCATGAGAAAAAAGAACAAGCAATCTGTCCGGGATGTCAGAGACATCTTTGGAGTCAGCACTTCTCCTGTAAGTAATAAACATGTCTCCGAAGGTTTGTTTTGGTTGGTTGTGGGTGGGAGGAAGGGGAAGGAGGAGGATATGGAAAAAGTATCAGAAAAGGCCATTTACTGCCTAGGCTTTAAAGAAAACCAGAGTGGACAGCACAGTCCAAACTTTTACAAACTTGAAACTTAAGCAGTCGTTCCTTATCTCCCATTCAGGAATCTTCCCTCGACACTAACTTTATTCCCTTTTTCACTGATGTTGTAGAATAGCTTTTTGGCAATGGAGCAAGTCTTCGTGGATGGGATATACAGAGCCTTTACTTAAATCTAAGTGCTAAATGGAAACAGGTGCAGGAGTCCTGAGACAGTGGCCTCAATATTACAAGCAAGTCTGGGTGGTTTGTTTTAAATGGGTGTGGGGGTGGGAGAGTGTGTAGGGTAGCCTTTGTGGTCAAATAAATTAAAAAGGTAAAAAATCAAAAGAAAAGAGCATTAAGTAGGAGAGAGTGATTCATAAAAAAAGCATAAGGGAAGCGTCACATGCTTTATAAGGAAGGGCTGGTTGAAATTTCAGCTTACTGTAAGCAGTTCCACGGCCTTGCTTTTATTTCTGAGGCTGTTCATCATGTTCTCCTATTTCAATGTTTGTTTTACTGTACACTCTGCCTTACAACTCATTCATTTATTCATTCATTCATTGCATCATTGCAACGTGCATTGCAGAGCTGTGTCATTGATGCAACCAGTACTTACTGGACACATTTTCTGTGAAAGGTCCTATATTAGGTTCTATGCAGATAGGATTCTTGGAACTTTGGTGGTAATTAGCATATAGGTAAAGGAAAACTTGATATTCTGCTGCAGTTACAAATAAAGTTGCCTGGGGCAAATTAGTTAATCACTCTGATTTAGGTTTTTCTCCTGTTTCATTGTAATGCCAATAATGACATAAATTAAAATTCCAAGGATCTTGGATAGTGAGCGTAGTTGAAGACAGTTTCCTGTTTGAGTTACTTTAGGTTGTAAATCATATCTTCTCCTAGATAATTAATCACAGTGAGTAGTTGCCAGAGCAGCTCACATATACATTGTTAACCTTTGCTTTTGTGCTAATACTGTTCTGGAATAGCACTGTCCTTTAGAACTTGCTGCAGTGATAGGAATGATGTATTTCTGTGTGTCCAATATGGTAGCCCCAGGCACATCTGACATTAGCATTTTAAATATGGCTGGTGTGTATAAAGAAATGAGTTTTTTATTTTATTTAATCTTAATTGATTTAAATCTAAATAGTTACATATGGGCTGTAGCTAATGAGTTGAATAGCACACTTCTAGAATCTTGTGCTGTATATAAGGATATACCTTGAAGTAAGTCTTTTTAGAATTCTGTGCTGTTTGAACGTTCAAACTACGTGAAACCTACGTCATTATGGATGGAGAGATTTCCTACAGCTGTAATTAAATAAATAAAAGTGGTGCCCACAACTTCAGGCAAGGGCTCCAAGCACAGGTTCCTGGCCGAGGTGTGTACCAAGGAAAAGGCTTACCTGCTGGTTAAACTCTCTGGGTCATTTTTCAGTTATCTTCCAGATCATCTTGAGAGAGTTCTGAGAACTTGAGCTATATGCTTACTTTCCCACTTTTGTTTCGGGCTACTTCAGAGAAAGGTTGTTGCTCTTCGCTGGCAAACTGCAAAATAGGAAAGGGTCTATTGGTTTCTCCCAAATCCTCCAGTTACTCAAGAAAATGGATAAGTAGCCCCTTTAGAGTTCCTAAACTTTGGTCATCTGAGTAAAATAGAAACAGGGAGGGAAAGAGATCTTTTTGTGCTCTTCCTCCTTCTTTTACTTAGATCCTGAAGGGAAACATAAAGTGAGCACTTACCCATTGGGGCTTTAAGTATAAAAAGAAATGAGGAGTCTTTTACTTTTCTGTAATGCACAAGTGCAGTAAACTGTTCTGTTTTGAACGCCAGCAAAGGCAGAGAGAGGGCCTAAGACAGTGTCTTTGCAGGGGCAGAGGCAGCCGGGAGAAAGGGAGTGGCTCTTCCTCCTGCTGTCCTTCTCGTCTCCCCTTCCAGTCGTACTGCTGAAGCCCCAGTTCTAGAATGAATGGAGAATGGGAATGAGGCAGGGAGAGTGGTTGCAGGTAAAAGAAAGGCCAGGTACTCAAGGAGTAGAGGTCTTGTGCTGTCCTGGCAAATGGGATGTCTGAAAGTCACTGAAAGCCTGGCATTGTATATGCTGCTTAAAACTTTAGTTTGTCCTTTGTTAAAATGTAAAAAAGCAGTATTTTTAAAAAATATATTACATTTATAATATATAAGACCTAATAATCGTCTTTACAATTTTTTTTTAAATCCCCCCAAAATCATCTCTTTCTTCAGGTAAAGAGATGTGGAAGTTTTTTAGGAATGTACCTAAAATTTTCAGTTTCCTATTTGAATTGACAGCAAAAATACCAGTTCCTCTCTCCCTCCTTCTTTTTCTTCAAGTATCTGTCCTGGTCTGCCTCTTTGTGAATGTGCTCCTCCTCCTCTTCTTTCTCCTCCTCCTCCTCTTCCTCCTCTTCTTCCTCTTCTTCCTCTTTGTCTGTCTCCCTCCCATATTTCCGACTCCTCTTTCTTTCTTTGGCATCATTTATCTACATTAATAGAATAATTACCTCAAGTTTTCCACTTCACATCATAATTAACATAAGGTAATTTTGCATCAGTCTTAGACATATGAATTTGACCCAGCAATCTTACCTAGTGGAGGTATAAACTCAATGATTTGAAAGATAAATGTGTAGATTAAACTAGTTTTTCTCTTAATTCTTTGCACATAGAAGCACATGCTCGAAATCATTTTCCTTTAGAATTTTGAAGATATTTGTCCATTATCTTCTCTCATGCACCAGTGCAGGAATGTCTATATCAATTTCATTTTTTTATTTGCATATGTGGAAGCTTTTCAAATTTTATTTTTATCATTGGAGCCTTGAAATTTTTACCTGTTTCACCTTTTTGGAAAATACATCCTAGTCTCTACTAAGTGAGCTCTTGCAATCCGAGAGCTCTTTGATTCCGCAGGTTCTGCTTATTTGTTTCCTAACATTTAAAACAAGTATCTATTTCATTCATTTTCTCAGTTATCTCCTTCTGGAATTCCTGTTAGGTAATTGTTGCAATGTTTGGAGTGAACCTCTCTTTCTCTTAAATGCTCTCTTATATATTCCAAGATTTGTTTTTGTGTGTGTGTGTTTAGTCTGCATTCTTGAATATCCCTTCAATGTCATTTTTATAGTAGTAATATGCCCTTCATTTATTTTGGAAAATTTAACATTTATATTGTTAATTTACCATAGGCTTTCCTTGCCCCTGATTTTCCCATTTTTTAGCCGTTTGTTCTTGTTTCTTTGCTGCAATAACCTCTAAGCACTCTGAAGGTACTAGGTTAAGATCTAAATTCCAGGATTCTCTTATTTTCCTTAAATTATTTGTTTACTACAGGGTTAAGTGTTTATTTTTGGCATCATTGTTTTTCTCTTTCACTGCTATTCAATTGATTTTGATCCCTGGGTATCGATTCATATTTACTTACAGGTTGATTGATTAGTATAGGTAATGACTGTATATTTCCTCTGCAGTTATGGTAACCTGTTTTCTCCCCAGAACTCTCTCGTGAATAGGCGTCTGAGTCTCTGTGGTGAAGTGTGTCAACGTCAACTGTCACTTTTTACTTTAAGAGGCATAAATATGACATCAGTGTCAAAGTAACAAGAGTCCTGCAGAATCCTAATTAATTTTCATATCGGGCAAACCTGACTTCCTTTTTTATACCCCTGTCCATACGTTTTTAGAAGGCCCCAGTGAAGTGCAATTCAGGCACTCCATCAGCAAGAGGATACTTCTGGGGTTTTAACCTAGAATCACATTTAGCTGCTACCTAGTGCTCAGTGTCAGAGGGAGAAAAGGTCTCCTGGCCTCTTTGTTCATAAAAAAATTCTTCAGTTACTTTGTTCATTGTTTTCCAAATTGAGGGATGCCTATGTGCTCTTTTTTATTTTCATTCTTGATAGGAGCTTTTTTTCTGGACCTGCTACACATTTTCTTCTTGTACCTTTTTTCAGGCTAAGGTTTTTCTCTATTCTTATCAACCATTCTTGCTTACATTTTATCTTCCAGGGACATTAAACAATTTCTGTTCTTCTAGTGAAAATGTTTAGTGGTTTCTAGAATTACTCTATGGGAAAGGTATCTCTTGACACTTTGAGTGATTTTCAGGGGGAAGAGAAAGTGGTATGTGTATTTTGCTATCTTGATCCAGTTTTCTTATGCTATACAGTAGTATTGTTCCTTCCCAAAAAATATTTTTTCCTTATTATAAAAGTAATACATAATCTTTACTGGAAACTTAGAAAATATAGACTAAGAAGATAAAAAAAAGACTATTTCTATGGGCCCAAATAAAATTTTATGATTTCATTAAATATCAAATAAATTTTATTTTCAATGGAGTTCTTGCCATAAAAGATTATTTAACCCTTGTTTTAGTAGAGCCATTATACACTAAATCACAAATACTAAATCAACCTGTGGATAACACACGGTCTGTAATCTTATTCATCATGAACAGAATTCTAGTGCCCAGGTACATTTTTATAATATTCAGAAGATGTGAACCAAATATTTCTTTCAGTAACACATTTAATTGAGCAAAATAGTCATTGTAATTTATTTCCAATTTCATTATTGATAAACAACTGTTAAAGGTGGTGCATACTTATAATTGACTGTATAAGTAGGGTCATACATTCTATAGGGTCATACATTCTGTTTTAGAAAGTGTGGTTATATCATTTATATACATTTGACTGCATTTAACAGGAAACCCAAGAAATCATGAGTTATACAAATATAGATTTGTTTTTCTGTCTTTAAGAGGAAGGTGAAGGTAAGTGTTCCTTTTTTTAGCATTGATCGAACTTCCTTTTGTGTTTCTATTTTGTCCTTCATAGAGACCTTCATCTTTTTGCTTACAAGTTGGTTTGGCCACTACAGGCACCACGTCCATGTTCCTGGCAGTTCCTGGAACCTGTACTGACTGCTTCTGTCCCTCTGGCCTTCCGTTCTTGGAAATCTGATGTAGTAGAATTCTATTTACCACCTGTTGTCCAGAACTGTTACATGACCATCTTTAAGCTGCAAGAAAGCCTGGAAAATCAATTTTTTAAAAGATAGACACTAAAGTTCTAAAAAAAATTGATATTCTTTTAAGGAAGATAGGTTTAAGTTAGAGGTAGGCAGTTGACAGTATCTGGTGTCCACTGAGACCAGTGTCTATCATCATCCTGGTAAATACTGGCTGATAAATGCACAATGATAAGTGCACACAGACAAGTCATATGTGTGTATGGCTCCACAAACATATATGAATGTACACATACTGTACATAACACATAACTGAATACACAATGACCTTTGGGAGACTATGCCTGAATAAAAATGCACTTTCATTTTTTTTCAACAGCCAGATGATTTTTCTTGTATCCCAACTCCTCTTTTGGATGCGACCCTGGATGAAGAAGGAATATCAGCAGTCCCCTCCAGAAATGGCCTACTGGTAAGATAAAGCAAGGGGGAATTAAGAGTAAGGAAATTAGGAAAAACTAATTATTTCAAGGCAGTCAGGAATACTTGAGAAAAAAATACCTGCTTGTAACAACAAAATTGAGACCCTTATACTTAGGAATGAATAATTAAAGAGTTAAAACCATAAATAAGTGCATGGCCTACCTGTATCTACAACATCAAAAACAACCACAGCTATAGCTATGGCCACAGCCATAAGTCAAAATATAGGGGAGGTCATCAGCTAAACTTTTGTTCTCTTTGTGGAGTGAATAATGAAATAATTTGCATTATCTTCCATCTAGCTTTCAATATTAATGTAATTCTGACCATAGGAAATATTTTGACTTTTCAGTTACTTTTTAAATGCAAATATTTGGGGGGGGGGCCTGGGGCATTTGATAGCATCTTACACATATAGCAATAAGAGGGAAAAAGTGTGCTATCTAGCTCAGGAGGTAGACAGTTTTCATTATGCCACAGGAGGTGAGACGTTTCATTTAGCACACACTTTGTTCGTTTTAGTACAGAGTTTTAAAGACCTAGTCGGAGTTCATAACTGCCAGTGAAGCTGTCTCAATAGACGGCTTTATTTTTGCACGATTAATTCATCCCACTGTGATCTGTACCACTTGGCATGAGGCCTGGGTTCTTTACTGAGGAGGTGCTCCCCGAGTAGGAAGTGTAGAAAGGTCATGGGTTTGCTGATATCTTTCTCCACTTGGACTCATGGCTGCAGAACACCTGCAGTGGGAGACTTTCCTCTATTATACTGCAATATGTTTCCTTCCCTTTAGCTCTGCCTTTTTTTATCCCTTCCTAACAGAATAGGAACTCTTTGCTATTCTACAAATAACCCCTGTACCACCTTTGAGCTGATGAAGATGATGATGTTGTTTAGTTTCTATATAATCTATTTTCATCTTATGTATATTTTGCATGGGGTACTCTATCATGGGTTACTTTTGGTCCCTCCCAAAATTCTCCTGCAGGGTTTGGATGTGAACAGTTTGTGTTCTGGCTCCTCGTCTTTTAATGAGGGTAAGCCGAATTCTGGAGGTAGAGTCTGGTCATTTGCGGCTGTGAGCAATCCTGCTCTGCAGATTTTGTCTCTAATTTTTTCCTAATTTTATTATATTTCTTGTAAGAGAGCTAACTCTTTCTAGTCAGAGGTTTTTATATTTTCTGTTGAGTTGAAAGCAGCCTTCATGTTTCCTCATCAGTGCAGGGAGCTCTGTATACCTCACTCACAACCAGGAACTTGACCCAAGGTATTTGTTCCTCTCTTCCTGCCGTGTTTTCCTTTACAGCAGCCACTGCCTCTTCCCTCAGCCAGAGGAGGAACAAGTCAGAATAGACACTGGCCTCTTTCCAAATAGTGAGTTTCTATGAGCCTTTACCCCACCTGACTCTATGTACATTTTGATTGCCTCCTAGTCCCCTCACAGGTGAGGGAGGAATTCCTACCTAAGGGTCACAGGGATGGCTGAACACAGGACACCTGGCACTTGACAGCAACTTGTTAGTCACATATTCTCACAGCCTCGGAGGTGGAGGACACCACAACCACACAGAGCCACATGTGGGGTGCCCTCAAGAGCTGAGTGAACAAGCAGGGCTGCAGGAGGCAGGCTTTGTAGTAAGAGGGTGGGGTGCCCCCGGGTTCCCATGGGAGGATGTGATTGACTTGCTTTCACAGGCTGACAAGGAACTGAAACCCACCACTCAGGGATAATGAGGAACTGTGTCTGGTCCCCTGGATAAAGAGCATTGTCTGGCTGGGGCACCTTATCTGCAGGAGCAGAATGGGAGGGGAACTTGTGGTTAGGCCACTCACAGCCTTCCCAATTTTACCAGCTGTCCAGGCAGCACATAACAATGGGTCTGACGTTAGGTATTACGCGCCGCTGACACTTCCACCCCAGCTATGGACTCTCATGATTAGTTTGTACTTATTTTATTTCTTTTCTCTTTTGTCACTTTTATTACCTTTTATTTCAATTTTTTGAAAGTCTTCTCCCCTTTCAAAGGTTAATCAGGATCAGGTGTGGTGCCAAACACGTGAAGAAACTTCTCACCGAAATGGAGAGAACATTTCAACTTTACTCTAGCCATACCCCAACTTCTCACAAGTTTATAGAATGAGAAAGTCGGTACACCTGACCCATGAATGTATAAGTGAACTCGAGCAGCTCAAACTCCTGTTCAAGAGTCAATTGTACTGTTCTTCCAGGAGGATGATGAGGGCTAGCGTTACAGAGTGACTACAGAGAACAGTAAAAATATTAACCTGCATAATCACATATACTACAAAATGTTACATCTTCTTAGCAGATTGCACCTTTTATCCTTTGAGCAGAGCTGGCAAGAAATATCTCTGGATACTAAATTTTCATATCCCAAAATCTTAAATCCTAACTTGGTGAATATCAAAATGTTAGGCCCTAGATCAGTGTCTTTCAGATACTTGTAAATATTCATCTATTTGCTTTTACATATAGTGTTGATATTGAGAAGTCTGATGCCTCTGTAAATCTTATTCCTCTATTTATATCATGTTCTTATTTTCATATTTCCTGAAGTTTTTTAGGATATCGTTATTGTTGGAAACTTGAACTCTCATCAGGATATAAAATCATTTTTTATCATGATTAGCACCCAGTTTTTTGTTCCTATAAATGTTCCTTTTAATTCTGAACATTCTCTTCCCATCATTTCTCTAATAATTTTGTTTTTCTCATTTTCTCTATTTTTCCTTTCATTACTTTCATTAAACTCACGTCTCAAATTCTTTTTATACTTTACTTTTTTTGTTTTATATGCTTGTAAAGATTTTGTGTACATCATTTTGTAGATCCCTAGTTCTAATATTTGCCCTGAGTAGTTATAATTTAACTGCCATTAATTTTTTTAATTCAGCAATTGTTCTGTTAATTCAGAAGAACTCTTGCTTGTTTGCTGACTTCCCCTTTATTATTATGGTTAGTTTCTGATTTATGAATACAATAGCCTTTCAAATCCCTCTGAAATGATTAAATCATCATAAGCTGCCTTCTCTTCCCTCAGTTATCTCTTTCTCCCAGACTGTTTACCACAACATGTCTTTTTCAGGATGTTAATTTTCTCCATGGGTGACTTTTTTATATTGATTTTCTCCAATGGCTGATGATATTTGGTGATTAATTTATATTTATTAATGAACTGATTTGACTACTTAATAACTTAGGATATATCATTGCTATATGATTTCCCGTCATATAGATATTTGTCCAATAACTCTCTCTTGAATAAGAGGGAAAACTTTGAGTCCTGTATAAGTAAATAAAGTATGAGCATGGTGTGTAAATGGAAATTAAAAAGCACACATGCAGTACTACACACACACACACATACACACACACATCCCCCCCAAACATATCTTAAGTGCCAAAGGGAGAGCAGTGAACAACTTTATTTTCTATCCGAGACAAAGCTGATGTTTTTCTTCTATTTTCCCATCCATGCCTTTTGTGGAGGTTCAGAATAACCTGATTAAAGTCTTTTTCTGATTCCAACACAGAACATCTTACCAAAGCAGATAGTTCACTTCATTTAGAGTGCTTTTCTTGGGTTCATATGTAGCTACTACCTGCTATTTAGTATAGAGAGGGCTGTTGGGAGGTCAGCCTGACCCCTCTGTTGAGAAAACACTTTACATTAAGTTATCCTAGCCATTACCCTGAGGCGCCTTACTGCCCTTTGTAATTTTCACTCTGAACTTTGTTGCTTATTTTTGAGGCTCCGTCCTTTACTTGGCAGCAAGGTTGTCTTAACGCTGTTCTTAGTCTGAGAACTTCTCTACAGTTATGAAATAAATTGCTTACTTTTTAATTTCAGGAATTTCTAACAAATTCTGATCTGTTATTAGAACACTTTGTTGGTTTCCAGTGCCATTTGCAGTTTGTTCTTATAAAAATACACACTTCCTCTAATTTTGAGTGATTGGGAGTGGTGCACCTCAGTCACCCATCCTTACTTAAGTTTTCTTGTAATTCCTCCTCAGATGTTTCCACTTCAAAATAGATCACGTATTCTTGTTATTAATATAATATATATACTTTTGGAGAAAGAAGATACAGAAAAGCAACATAAAAACAAATGCTTCTAAGGTCTCATGTAAAACTTTATGATTTTATTAATATGCATTATGTTTAATTTTGCAAAAAGTTGCTTTAACCAGAGAATTGAATATTTTCATCTTATTTTGGGGAATGCCATCGTATTGCAAGTGCTGCTAAAAGTCTTCAAATGTCTGCAAGAGACTTACAGTGCAGCCCATCATGTCAGAATAGTCTCCAGATATACTTCCTGCATAATGAAAACCAGAGCTTTTCCAGTCTTCTGTGACTACGAATGAAATATGTTTCAGTCATATGTATTTGTGAGATAATCTAATGTATTTCCAATTTCATAATTGAAAAAAACTGACTTCCTGCTATTGATCTATAAATCATTGCAAAATATAGTCATGAAGTCTGATATTAAAATAGCAGAGTTTTATCAGTAAGCTGTGTGACTTAGACTTAAAATTAGAGATTTATTTTCCTGACAAAATTAGAAATCCGAGGCTAGTACAGCTGACACACTTTATACAGATCTACCAACTTCTTCATCTTTCCATTCTGCTCCCCTCAGCGTACGGGTACGTATTTAATGCTTATAGAATGTCTCAACATCACAGGCACCTTGTCCATGTTTGGAATAAGCATCAAGCAGCTGATTCCTTCCACAGGAAGATACTAGCCTCCTTGAGTGCTTCACTGTGTGTGATTCTACTCATCTCACTGGGTGTAACCGTGACAGGATCACACTTAGTCCTTTCAGTTAGCATTTCTGAGAAAATCATGATATTCATAAATTAAAGAAAAACAGTGGATTTTGGCAGGCATTTAGCAGTGTCTGCTTTTGAGACCAATTTTTTGATAGTGCATGATATTTATAAGGGTCAATATAATTATGAACAAATCAGTGACATGGCTGTACATTTTTACAGGTTCTAGTGTAATCCATAACTGAATAAACAATCACATTGGGAAAGCTATGCCTGGATAAAAATTACTTTCATTTCTCTCATCAGCCAGGTGATACCTGTGACAGTCATACTACTCGGGAGGAAAAAGAGCTGCCTGTAATTACCAACACAAGCGGTTCCTTGGTAAGTTATAGCAGGAGAAGGGGCAGGGGATAAGGGATGAAAGAAGAGCTTTTTCTTCAAAACAATCATGCAAAACTTCAACACAATGCAACATAATTAGGGTGGCTGGACAGCTGCAGCTGGCAACATACCTACCTACCTTTAATTGATTGGTGGGACGACACTCAGCAGTAAATGAGCCCATGTTAAATCCACAAATAACTGCACACATATAAAAACAGATATATACCCCAAAACCTGATGATTGTATGCATTTCTTTTCAATAAATCTAGTTCCTTTATGTTTTTTCTTACATTTAAGAAAATTCCTAGGACCGTTGGTTGGAGCAGCAGCAGGTATCCTTGGGTTTCCTATTGTTTCTCCAGTGGGGGGTGAACTTCAGGTACCTCTGCAGACAATACTTTCCATCCCAGGTGTCCAACCTCTGCCCTCCGCCGTGTTTGCACACGGCCACTTCTGCTTCGTACTCACCCAAAGGAGGGCAAAGTCAGGCAAGCCTCACAGAGTGATCAAGCTTCTAGCAAACTGCACATGGAAACCGTTGCTGTATTTATGTCTTATCCCAGGGCACTTTCTCACATTTGTTTCTGCTTGCATTCCTATTCTAAGCTATCTTTTCTCTCCCTTGATGGAGCTTATATAATCTATTTTCCTTTTTTTTCCCCTATCCTCATAGTCCCTCTTCTAACTTCCTCCTGAAGAGAATAAAGCAAAATGGTGAGTCCCAGTGGGTGGACACTCCCTGCTGAGATGGTGTTGGGGAGAGACTTAGTTTGGAAGGGCAGGCCTATATTGAACACAGGTGTGATTACACACACCCTCGGTCATTTTCCTTCATAATTAGGAGGAGATAACTGTCTTTTTCAGAATTTTCTCGATGTGCGGTCTTCTTTGGTGCTATTTTGATGGGGAGGGAGATGGATTTTGGAAAAGAGTTCACATTATTTCTGGAATATCTTTCTCCCCCTGTCACTCAGTGAATGCTCCTGGGATTCTCTTTTCCTATTTTTTAGTTATTTTTTGTTAACTCTACTATGTTTTAGGAGAGAGAGGCTTGGTTGTTTGATATAACTCTTCTATTTTTATCCCAGAATATAATCCCTGTTGTTTACAGAAAACTCCTTTTCTTGATATTAAAAATTATTCACAATCTGTTCCATGCTGTTTTTTCCAACCTGAGTTCTCTTGATTTAATCACATAAGCCCTCTAATTTTTTTTAAAAAAATCAACTTTCTCTTTTTGGAACGTACCTTGAGTTTTCCAGTGGTAAAATTTTATTCAGTCTTTTCTCATCTTTTAAATGAGCAAAAGATTTGAACAGACACTTCACCAAAGAAGATATGTGGGTAGGAAATAAGTTCATGAAAAGGTGCTTGGTATCATTAGTGATTATGGAAATGAAGCCACAATGATATATCTGTACATACCCTGTACAATAGCTGAAATTAAAAAGATTGATCATACCAACTGGTGCTAAGGATGCACAGCAACTGGGAATCTCAGACATTGCTGTTGGGAATGTAAAGTTGTCCATCCATTCGGAAAAATAATTTGGCAGTTTCTTAAAATGTTAAGCATATATCTACCCTAGACCCAGCTATTCTACTCATAGAAAATATATTAATAGATTTATACAAAGACTATCCACAAATGTTTATAGCATAATGATCCCAAACTGGAAATAACCCAGTTTTTTCTGCAGATAAATGGATCAACAAATTGTAGTATATCTATCCATACAATTGAACTCTAGTCAGAAAAAAAAAGCAATGAAATATTGATATATACAGTAGATGTACACAGTAGAGGTGGATGCATCTTAAAATAATTTGCCATGTAAAAGAAACCAGAAAAAGAGATTCAGCTTATATAAAATTATAGAAAATGTAAACTAACCTTTAATGATAGAAAGAAAATTAGTGATTGCCTGGGGACCTCAGTGTAAACAAGGAAGGGTGTGAAAGGAGAGATGACAAAGAGACATGAGGACATTTTGCAAGGTGCTGGTTTTGTTCATTGTTTTGATTGTAGTGGTTTCACAGGTGTATTTGTCCAAACTCATCAAAGTGTACATTTTATACTATTTAAATGTGTGCAGTTAATTGTATGTCAGTTATACCACAATAAACCTGTTTTAAAAAGTCCATACAATGTTTCATGATTTCATTAATATCCAAAGTGTTTCTTTTGCAATAGGCTACTTACAATAAAGAATAGTCTATTCATGTATTACTTGTGATTGACCCTTGACCCTAAATCACCAATGCCACTAAATCCGAGCAGTTACCAAAGGCTTGCAATCCAATCTACAGTCATCACAAATGTGCTCTACAAATCATTACTTGTATAGATAAGAGAAAACATTTCCCATGTGTGCAGTTGACATAAATGAATTATTCAATTGAGATGCTAGTTTATTTAAAAGGCAGTCAAGTTTACTTCCAATTCCTTAAGGAAAATCAAATAGCTACACTTGCTATATAGATTCATAGTTCACTGCAAAGTATAATCATATCATCTGTTAACAGTTGCATATGTGTTTGCTTCATAGAAAAGAAAACCTAAGGAACCTTGATTTAAACAAGTAGAAGTATATTTTAGTCACAAAACAGGAAAACTAATGGTAGGTAGACTAAGGCTGTTAACAATTGCAATATAGTGCAAGCTTTAGTATGAACTTCTAACTTTTTTCTTCCATGCTGCCACTTTAGCATGTGGATTTAATCTTTACACTTACCAGATGGTCTGCAAAATATGGATACCATGGTGTTTGTATTAGGAACATATGCCAATTGACTGTCCATTATTAACAGAAAACCTTAGTTCTGGAAAACCTGCACAGCAGAATATCTTTTACTGTTCATGGAGCAGCTGTTAGTTACACTCCTACTTTAGTTGCCTGAATCTCATTCCTTTAAGTAAAATAAGCTCCTAAAGTTATTTTTGTTTACCCTCTCCAACTTTTTTGAATTTTGAATTTATTGCTGGAGTTCTAAACTTTCACAAGAATTTGCCTTTTATTTCATTCATCTTGGTCACAACTCTTGTGTCCTTTCCATCAAAGAAGCTTTCTTTCTTCAGTTTAGGAGTTGTCTTCTGTTATGTCATTATTCTTTCCCCGTTTTCTATGTCCCAACCCTCTAGAATACATGTTAAATGGTTGGTGCTTGGCTCAAATTGGATTTTAATATCTACTAATTTTTTTTTACCATGTTAGTTTGTTTTCTGTTCTAGATTTCTTCAACTTTATGTTCCAATTTAGTAAATTTTTTTTCTTGGTCATTTATGTATTATATTTTAGCTTGCCTCACACTTTTTGTAAATTTTAGCAAACCTATTCTTCTTTCCCAAGAACAACTTTTTTCTCTCTGATGTACCAATTAGTATAGCCATAGGTTCTTGATTCATAAAGTGATCTGTAAATCACCGTGAAAAAAAGAGTTCATTGTTTTTAAGGAATCAAATTATTGTGATGTAGCTTTTTTATTGAGGTATAATTTAAAAATAGTAAATTCACACATTTTAAGTGTATAATTCAATTATTTTAAGAAATGTTTGCATTTTGTTAAAACATTGTCAAAATATAGGACATTTCCGTCATCATAGAAATTTCAGCCCCTTTCCAATCTGCTGTCTTCCCACCCCTGTAGAGGCAAGACCTGTTGTGACTTCTAACATCTTAGGTTGGTTTCCCTTTCATATAGATCGAATTGTAAACATAATGTGCACTTTTGTATCTGGCTTATTTTACTCATAATTTTTAGATTCATCTATTTATTGCTTGTATTATACATTTGGTACTTTTACTATTATTGCATTGCATTTGCATATACTATCTTGGTATATCTCTTCATCTTTTGATGGACACTTGGGTTGTTTCCAGGTTTAAACTTCTATAAGTAATGCTTCCATGAATACTCATGTTCTATAAAAAATTGTATATTTTTATTTCTCTTAGGTAAAGATGCATATTATTGGCAAACACAAATACCCACAGCCCCATGGTTCATAGCTCTTAAACTCAACAAGGACTAATTTAATAGACAAATTAAAAGTAACTAAATTATATCTTTTTTTAAACAAAAGCATCTACAGGCAGAAACAACAACAAATACTAGCTTGTTTAGTTTTTAATGTATGTCCTAAGTGAAGGATATTATCAACTAAACATTGGTCCTTGCGGGTGAGCTCATAAAAATAACAGACGACCATTTAAATATGTTTTCAGTAATTCAGTATTAACTAAGATATAAATATTTAGTTTTTTTCTGGTTATTTTTCAAATGTTAACATCTTGTGTGGAGAACATGTTAGCTTTTGGAATGTGAGGCAATAAGTGATGCAAACAGTGAAATAGCTGCCTGAATGAGAGTACCGCCTGGTCAGGGAAGTGCACGTCTCTCCTTCGGTGGCAGCAAGTATCTTCAGGTTTTATGTTTTGCCTCTAGTGCAGGGAGAGCTTCTGACCAAGACTGTGGATCCTGGTCTTTTTTTCCTGTTCAGCTCTCAGTCCCTCCCCCATAGCCCTATCTATCAAAATCCTGTCACAGTGAGAAGGTGAAGTGATCCACTAAAGACACCGCCCATGAAGACATAGGGTAGAAAGTGTTCCACAAGCAGAAGATACCAGCACACTTTCAGGTGGAACTACAGCCCTCCAGGCCCCTAGAGTTCTCTGTGGTTACTGGTCTATGATTGATTAGTATAGGAAATTGCTGTGTGTTTCCCCTACAACAGATTAATTTTCCCAAAAGGTCAAAATTACTGATTGTATGTTCTTGTGAGTGAGTAAGGTATACTTAACTTTAACTTGCATGGAGGAGGCAGGTAGGTTAGTAAACACTCCCCCAGTACAAAACCAATGAAGGGAATGAAGAACCCTAATTCATTACTTCCAGTCAAAGCTGATACTATTTTTCAGTTTCCCCTCCTTGTCTTTTTTTTCTTGCTTCCTAAGTTCACCCTCCCTTAGATCACTATACTCATCTAAAAACCAACGTACCCCCAAAAGCAATTAGTTCATTTTATGTAGACTGCATTTTGGGGTTTTTTCCTAGGGTTTTATTAATGTTTCCTTATTTAAGGGAAAGAGCTCTACTTGGCTCCTCTTTTGTAAACATTTTTAACTATTCACCCGCAACTCTTTCTTGCTCTGTGTACAATCTGTATTATTTGTTTGTTTTTCTCTTCCCATACTACAAGTTTTCTACAAATTTTTTTTTAAATTTTCTTTTTAAAATTCTGCTTTTAGGTAGAAGTTTTATTTTACCAAACCAATTCTATTTGTTTTTTATCTAGAAATTTCTATCAGTTGGTCTGCTACAGAATTCTTTAGTGGTTTAAAGTGCTAATCAAAATCTGTTCCTTTATGTTTTCTACCATTTTTAACGATTTAGGGATGGGAGGAAATGTAGTGATTGTCAATTCACCATCTTGACTTTTTTTTTTTTTTTTTTGGCTAGTTCTTGTGCTTTATTTGTTTCTTTAAAAAATATTTCTGTTCATTTTATAAAGTAATGCATACTATCTATAGAAAACTTAGAAAATATGGTCAAGCAAGATGAATGACAGCTTTTTGAAAGACAAAATAGTGTATGTTTTCATAAGTATAAATTGTACTCAATTTTGTAACAGGTTCCTTTAGTAAAAGAAAGAATATTTATGTCTTAAATTTCAGTAAAGCCATTGTACACTACAGCAAAAATTTCTTAGTTCCAGCTTTATAAATAAAAAAACAACTTGGTACTATTACTACTGAATTCTAATCTCTGAAAAAGGTAGTTTTAGGGTCTGTTAAAAAAATAAAATTAGATAAGTTTGTGTTTGGCTGCACGTGATATAAAATTAGAAGTTGTTTTGCTTCTCTTTAAGAGACATGATCCAAGTCTGACATAGCAGCTACATCATGACCTTTAGCAGGGATCCAGCCACATTTGATCTCTCTCTGGCATTCCTCCCTGTGAGCATCATCATTATTAATACAAGATTCTTGGCAATTCCAGGCTTTCATCAATGTGCTGTCATGAGCATACATCAGCTGACCCTGTTCTTACTGTTCAGGAAAGCCTTAGCTTTTCTGGAAGGACTCTTGGTAAATTACCCTGACACCTCATTGGCTACACTTGTCACATGATCACCCTCAGCTGCAAAATAACCTGGAGATCAAATTCTTTAGCTTAATACCTAAATCCTTGGGACAAAAATCAAGATATTGTTAAGGAAAATGGAGTTTGTGGCAGGCAGTAGAGGTGTCTGCCATAGCGGCCACTGTTAGAAACTGTTTAGATGGCTCACAGTAATGATCCCTGGAGGGCTGGATGCAGTCGTTTGGGCCCAGGCAGTCGAAACTTCATAGATTGCCACATATGTCTAAATAAGTACACATAACAGAGTACACAAACACATTAGAAAGTATTGCCTGAATAAGAATGGTACTTTCATTTCTCCATTTAGCCAGATGATGCTTCTCTCAACAGTACTCCTTTGTCAGACGGGTCCCAGGATGAAGAAGGGAAGTTTCCACTTTCCAGGAGTGGCTCTGTGGTAAGTCACCGCATGCCAAAATAATTGAATGTCAGGGAAAATTTGAAAGTTCAAGGCAAAAAGAAGCAGTTTCTTCAAAACAGATAAGAAAAACTTGATCTAAGATTGCCAGAAAACCATGGCTGCCAGTAGACCTACCAACCTTGAGACCCAAAACTGAGGAATGAATAGATTCAGTTTAAAAGAGGACTTCATAAATTAACACCACTGCAACTATAAATCAAAGGATGTTCTTTATGTGTATCAAACATGGAGAAATTAGCTGCGGTCCTTTTAGTTGAATTCACACAGATGATCTGGCCGCATTCTACCATCTTAACCCAAAGTCCTTTTACCTGCAGAATAAACTGAAACTCCTCACCTTGAGATTTAAGGTTTTCCACTATTGCCTACATTTCTAGCGTTACCTCTCAGGACTCACTAATGTAAACCCTCTACTCCATACAAATTCACTTACTTGGCCTTGACTAACAGAACCTGTACTTTTCTTTGTTAAAACTTGTGCCATCTCCCCTCTCCCCACCTTCATTGGGAATCCCCGTGTGGTGTCTCTGCAGGTGCTCTGGCAGATGGTAATAGAATGAACCAGAAGAAGTGAGAGATTCTGTTAGATGAGGTAGTGGTTCTCTGATGGCAAGTTGATGGACAACAACAGATAGCACTTCAGACAGACAGAAGGAGAGGGCACAGTCAGATGTCCCTGCAGGTCAATAGTTGCTCCTCCGTTGTTTGTTTGGAGGCACAGGATAGGTGACATTCACATGCTTATCACATTCCTAGTATATCCCCACTGTTCAGGGAGATAATGCTAGTTGCCCCATGAAAATCAGTTTTTTTGTTGTGTTTGTAGATTTTTTGGTTATGGAGTTGTTTTGTTTTGTTGCACATTGATCACATAAGTAAAATAATCTGAGTGACTTTTGTCAATGAGTAACTTATCAGTAACACTACAGGTATTGGCATAGACAGGCTAAGAATTACCTACAATGTAGGAACAACTGGATATAAATTCAGCCCTTACTTTCTCATTTAAGACCATGCATTAGAATGCAAATGAATGACTATGTCTCAAATAATGATCTCCAATCCACCCTACATATTAGAAGTCATTCATATGCTCTGAATAAATACTGGAAGTGAGTACTTACCCATAATAGACCTTAACACAACTTTGCTGTGCTCCTATGACTGGGGATTCCTGCTTTAGGTTTTTACCTAGGATCCTTTATTTTCTGTCTCAGAAGGTGGTACCCATGTGCCCAAGACTTAAATATTAGCCTCAAGTTTATGACCTTCTCCCTGTCTACATGCCCATCACTGAGACCTGTGGATTTTATTTTGTCAAGTAGTTCTAGAATATTTCTGTTCCCCTACTTTTTCTACAACTACTTCCTTAGTACAGAAACTCACCATCATCTTTCTGTACTGCCGAAATAGCCCCTTTAATCATTTCCTGGACTTTAGTTTATACCCTCAAACTCACCTTTCCGATAGCTGCATGTCTTGCTTAAAGCCCACAGTCATTCCTCCCCACATTCCTGACAGAGTCTAACATCTCATCTGCCTCTCTAGCTGACTTTCCCACCCCAGGCATTTGGTTCCAGGCACACACCAAGCAGAAGTGGCAGCAGAATGTTTGCACAATTGAGTGGCTAAAGAAAAGTCAGTTGAATAGGCCTTGTTTTTGAGGCTTTTCCATGGCAGTTTCAATTTGCCCAGTCCAACTTTTTTCCTCCAATCAATCCTATCCTGGGATCCAGTAAGTCCAATATTGCATGTCTTGTACATAGTTACTCTGAAGGATCTTATTTTGTGTACTGTGTGTATCAGAATAATGTACATTGCCATATAACGTAAAAATAAAAGTATACATATAAATAGTGCAGCGAAGTATCTAAGTGTCATACCAACAAAAACACCAAATAAACCTTGAACAAAAAGACCGATGCTAGTCATGTTTTTTCATTTATTTTTTTTTCTGTTAGCTTCTACATATCATTGGTTGCCTAATTCATTTATTTATACATTCATTTATTCAACATATACTTACTAAGCACATATTGTCTGCAAATAGGCTTCTTGAAAATTTGAGAGCATAGGAGAAATAAATCACCTTTTATGTAAACTAGAGTGGGGTAAGTTAATTACTCAGATTTTGGGTTTATTTTCATCTCGTTTTCTGAAAATGTATTGAATACTGATAACGACATAAATAAAAGTTTCAGCAAAAAATTATGAAAAAAAAAATCTCATTGGCACCGATCTCCAACCTAACCGGCTTTGGTTTGCTAATTCAGAGTATCTTTACTTAAAAATGTTAAACAAATTGGTTATTTGGTTAATTGGTTATAGCCCACAGGTGCCAACCTAACCCTTAATGCACTTGTATTGAAAATCATTCTAGAACATCTAGAGGTAAACATTCCAGAACTAGAAGGTAAATACATTTTGCTTCCCCTGCTTCTGGGTTATAAGTACCACAGGCACCCTAGTTTGGTTCCTCAGCCTCTTCTAGATGGTGGAATTTCAAGTAATTCAGTGAAGTGGTGGCAAGGGCTTCAGGGATCCTGGCCATGACCTCCGTAAAGGTAAATCTCACCTGCTTAGATAGATTCTCAGGGGCATTGTACTGTCATCAGAGACTCCTGATAATTTGCCACATTGCAATTTATGGTATGGAATTGTATAAAATAGGTAACCTAACTTCATGTTTTCCAAACGGGTAATTTTGGCTTGACAAATACTTTTTTCAATCTTTCATCTTTTCTACACAACCTTTGTGATACATGAAATCTCTATAAATACGGTATCTCTTTTAATTATTATGACTCTATAGTTTAATTTTAAATCGTTATAAGTTCACTGTCATTATTCTGCATCAAAAATTTTCTTTGCTCTTCTCAGAAATGTTTTTCAGGTGAGCTTAGACTAACACTATTATTTCCCATTAAAAAAATCTTCGTAGGACTCCTCCAAGAATTATATTGAATTTAAAGATTAATGCCAGGGAAAGAATTCACATCTTAAAATACTGAGTTTCATCATTTAGAAATAGTGATTATGTCTTTCCATTTATTTATACTTATCCTTCAAAGAAAAACTATATAATTTTCTTACATTTTTTTTACACACCTTTTTTACTGGTTGATTATTCATCACTTAATAATTTTTGTTCATATTTTGAATGGTAGAGTATTTATGATGTCATCTAGTTTATTTTTGCAGATACTCATATATAAGAAAAGTAATTATTTAGTTTCTGTACAAAAGTATCTCTTATAGCTTCCTTTCTGAAAAAATTTTTACTTTTAAGAATTTTTCATTTTATTTTATAATTTGTGTATATATTATCTGAAATAGTGAAAGTTTTATTTACTCAGTTTATCTTATTTCTTTTTCTTGCCTTATTGACTGACCGTAATCACTTGTACATTGAGTAATAATTTTGGAGATCTTTCGGTAAGGTTTTGATTTTCTCATAAATTCTTCTAAGAAGAATTTCTAAGAAACCATGAGAAAACTAACTAGAATATTTATTCTAGGTTTCTGAGCCTTGTAGTTGCGTTTATCAGGAATGAAGCTTGAATTATATCAAATGATTTTCATCATCTATTAAAATGAATATAATATTTTTATTATTTAAGCAATTACTTCAGGAAATTAGTGACATGTCTTCCTGATGTTGAACTATAATTCCATTCTTATATAAACTCTGCTTGTCATGTTACATTATTCTTATATTACATTACAGAATATGATTTGCTACTATTTTAGCATTTTTAACCACTAGTCTAATAAGTCGGGGTTAGTGTGTGTGTGTGTAACTTCTTTTGTTGTTACCAGAGCTGTGCTAATCTTGGTACAGATAGGTTGAGGACTTTGAATATTTTTCAGTATTTTGGAGCCATTTATTTAACATTGGTGTAAATAATCTATAAAATCTATTATATATAAATTTGTATTGTAATTTGTTTATGAATGTCCAAGGCATGGCATCATTGTAGCATGGCATAATGCTTTGGTTAATTTTTCACTTGATGTGGTTTGGGGTTTATGGTCCTTTCAATCCCAACTTATATGAATTTGGATAATATATATTTGTTCTAGCAAAGAATCCAATTCATTTAGGGTTTTAATATATGTTTTTACATACACACACACACACACACATACACACATACACACACACACACACACATTTATTTAGGTGCATAATTTTTAAATTTCCTGTGAAGGTAACTATTTTTCCTTTATGTTCCTAAAAGTTATGGTTTTTTAAAAATTTTTCAATAATAACTGTAAATAGTTGTCCATATCACCAATTTTTTAGGTCACTACCTTTAATTAATTAAGTTTGCTTTTCTCTGTTGTATTAATTTATTGAATTCTTATTAATTTTTTCATCTATTCTTGGGGTGCTTGGATAATTTTTTTATTGTCTCTTGGATTATTAACATATTTTATTTACATATAATCTTCCCTATTTGCACTTAAGAATCTCTGAGTACTTTGGCTATTCTCATGGATTTTTGGAATAGAATGTTTTTACTGTTTTTGACATTTAGTTTATAATTTTAGGTGTGATTTAATTTTTAATCCAAGACATCATTGGAATTCTTTATAAATTTACATTTGGATAGATTTTGTAATTGTTATTTTTTATTTCCAAATTTATTGTACATTTGTCAGTGAATGTGGCTTATTTAAGTTCTCTGAGGAATTTGGCACAGCATTTTCAAAGCATGGATGGATCAGTTCTGATCTCAGTTGCAGAAGAGAATGATGGGGAACCTTATTATCTGTATTGATTCAAGCACAGGCTGCTTAAGTACAGAGTCATAGCACATAGCTATAGTATGTAGACTCAAATCATGAGAAAAACCAAACAGCTAGTCAGGAGGGTCAGAAACACCTCTTGAGTCATTGAATTTCTCCCATAAGTAATGAACATGAAAATGGTGTGGTGTTTCTGTAATGTGAAGGAAATATCAGATAGTCAAATTCTAGTTTTAAGAGAGCTCAAGCAGGTAATGCAGACCTTCTATAATTTGGAATTTAAAATAATAATCCTCCATACTTTACTCTTCAATCCCAGTGCAGTATGATTTGGACAGCCGAGGAAGTTTTGGTGGCTGGAAAGTGTTGCCGTTCTTTACCATTTGAAGCCCCAGTGTGGAGCTCTTGTGGTTGGACCCAGAGGAAAACAGTAGGATCTGTTACTGACAGTCTAGGGGAGTTTGTTTTAAGTGGAAGTGGCACTTATGCTTTAAATAGATTAAAATCACTAGTACATTTTTTAAATTACTGGTATTATTATGTTTAATGATGGGTGAATAGATGTTTTTAAACTGTAAATACCCTATGATTTCACTCATATGTGGAATCTAATGAACAAACTGAACTAACAAGTAAAATAGAGGCAGACTCACAGAGAGATGGATGGCAGCAAAGGTGGGGAGGGGAGTGGGTAGAGGGATTGAGGAAAAAGGATTCATGGGCGTGGACAACAGAGTTGTGGTTGAGGGCGGGGGGGCGGGGGGCGGTGTGTGGGTACAAGGGGACTAAATGTAATGGGAAAAAAGTGCAATAAAAAAGGATGGGAAATAAAACAAAACCCTGAATACCAAGCACCTAGCCTTTTTATTCAATCTATTTCAAAACTCAAGGTCCATTTATTGGCAGGCTGTCTTCCTTTTTCATTTTCACTGTGTCATTCCTCCGTTTTAACACATGAACGTCCTTTTGCTGTTTTGTTTTAACCCTTATGACTCTGTCTCAATTCCTTTACCTGGCTTTCAAAGCCTTCAGTAATTTGAACAGACCATCCTGACTAATGTTCTCTCATATTTTTTAACATTTTGCCTCAACTCCTGACAAACTTGTCTCTCATGATGCCTTGTAGCTGAAGTGCTTCAGAGAGTTCCACACCTGAAATTTATACTTCCGCGTCTGGACTGGATTCTCTTGCCCACCTCCCCTGCCTTTGTACATTCTTCCTGTCTTTCCTTGAGTTCCTGGGCCAGTTCATCCACCTCTGTAGTAAAATCTTCTGGGCCACACCATCCTCTCCAATGCTCTCCAACAAACACTTATGTTTGTATTGTAGAAATTTCTTCTTAACAGTAGATTGATTATCTGTAAATAATGTTGCATAATTGTTACTCTGTTTTCTTTATTATAAATAGTCAAGAGCAAGGATCACAATTTAAAGTTCTGCTTCTCCCAGCAAAGTCCCAGAATAATTTACAAAGTGCAGGGACTCATTCACCCCAGCAGACTAGCTTCTCCACTTCACAATTAAGAAATTAACATTTAGGAGGTAAAGTATCCTAAACTATCAGTTTAAGCCCTTCATAAATGTCTTTCAATTTTTGAGTGTTCTGTCCAATGGGGGAGTTATTTCAGAGTTTAAGAAGACATTTCTTCTTTGGAAAACTTAAGGAAACCACTGAAAAGTGGTCCACATCTTTTTAAGGATTTTAGTGTATGGATAATTTTTATTCTGTAGTGTTAGGTTTTAGAGCCACCAAAAATCTGACTAACAATGAATTGTATCATCCTAGACCTTTTTGTCTTTTTATTGTTCTACCAATTGCACAATTAGTCATCTATGTTTCAGTAATTGACCATGTATTCATATGTTGTCTACACAATAAGTGTGACATCTCCTTTGAATTAAATAGGAAAAAAATAATGCAGGCTCAGAATTTGAGACTCCCTTGTGTAATTTGTAGCACAAGAAAGCATCTTTCATGAAGCAGGTGTTCAGTTATTGCTAAATAAATGTGAGAATAAGATTTTCACCCTCACGTAATGTGAGATAACTCCCACATTAAAATTTTTATTGATAGGAATGGTAGGGTTTGTGTGTAAATTTTTTTTATTAGTATTCGTCCAACCTGAGCAGTAACTTGCTTCACAGGGCTGTACAAAGGTAGATCCTCAACATCTGATAGTATTGCAGGGTGCACAGTGCTTTGGTGGGATCTCAGTGGAGAAAGTAGCAAATTTACTAAGAGGAGAAACAGCTAGAAAACATAATTTTTTGGCAGTTGTTATTAGTCTACTTTATAGTAAAGGAATTAATATGTTAATATATTAAGAGTAGTTAGCTCCTATAGTACTACATACCAGATATTGTTTCATGTGATTTCACATAGGATAAGTCATTTAAAATTCATAATAATTCTTTGAAATATGTTCTGCTATCATCTGCATTTTACAGACTAGAAGACTAAGCAATAGAGAGTTTAGTAACTTGCTGAAAGTTACAAAGTAAGTGGAAAAACCAGGATTAAAATTCAAGCAGTCTAGCTCTAGCATCCCTTTTTAGTAACCACCTAGCTATCTCATGACTTAGAGTTTGTGAACGAAATGTGTGACCAGGTGCATCAAGAATAACATACACTGATTGCCAAACTATATGACATCGAGCATTGTAATTTCTATATGTTAGGAAATACATGAGCAACAAATATTTAAGAGCTAAGAAGATGCACTTATTTTGACCTTGACTTTGTTCCCTTTGGAGATAACAGTGTGGACTGTATAGGTCTGAACTGAATGAAGAAACAAAGGAAATCAGATGTAGGCATTTTATGAAATCAAGAATTGCTATTAATTCTTTAATACTACCAAATAAAAGTCAGACTGAAATGTAGACTCGACTGTATTTACAGTAAATGTTTGTGTTCATCTTCCTTTGTTTCACAGTCTATCCTTGAGACTATTCCAGATATACCAGTTCATTCCAATGGATCGGCAGACCCTGGACAGTCAGTTCAGAATGCAGTGAGTGGTGAGTGATAAACCCTCCTATTGAACTTAAGCTATGTCTTCTTGCTTTTGTGCTGGTGATCAGTAAAGTGAGCAATGAATCTCTGAAAGGGAAATGCAAGTGTGTTATTCTCCCCAAACTGATTTTGTCGCTCCAGCAGGCTTTCCTTCCACGTCCAAACACCCGGTTCTGCCACACCAGGCAAAATTAATAGAGCCAACCGGAAGCAGAATCTTTCCTTCTGTTGCTCCCACCATATCATTTAAAAGTTACTCACCTGGGTAGTGTCTTTGATTTGGGGCCTCTTTCACAAGTAATCTGGATCTGCTAACAGTTGCAAACAAGCCAGTAAGTAGGCTGCTCCCCAGTAGCAGCAACATTTGGGTTTAGATGGGCTTAATTTTAATATCATAATAATATATAGAAATATCCCATGTTTGGACTTTCCTCTAGTTATACTCAATACCTTTCACAACACATAAAAATCTAAAATTGAAAATATCACATTAAGTATAAAATTTATTTAGATAACGATTACAGAAATTTATTCATATGGAAGTCTGATGACACTACATTATGTTTAACTGAAATCATTCTGGGTGAGTCTGATGCCTTTCCTTGGGTGCTTATGTGCTTATGACTTAACTCATAAATAGTTTGTGCTTATTTTACAGTAAATGGTATTGACTGATTAAATGGCATGTTAAATATTTTATATCTTTTTTCCTTAGATGATGATTATCTGGAAAAGAACATTCCACCAGAAGCTGAAGAGCTGTCCTTTGAAGTATCTTACTCAGAAATGGTTACAGAGGCTCCAAAAAGAAATAAATTTAAGAAGTCAGATTTTAAGAAAGAAGACTATGTTTTTACTGTAAGTAAAACCCTTCGTCATTATTGCAGTAGCTTCCTGTGACTTCTCCATGACACAAACTAGGGTTTTTTTTTATCTTCACCCAAGGACAGTATTTTAATTGTTTTCAGACAGAGAGGAAGGGAGGGAGAGAAACATTGATGTGAGGGAGAACTATCGATTGATTGGTTGCCTTCCCATATACAACCTTTCGACTATGGGATGATGCTCCAAACAAGGGAGCCACACTGCACAGGCCACAATGAGGATTTCATAAAAATTTCATTGTGTGTGCACAAAGGACGGGAAGAGGCCAGGCAGCAGTGTCGTGTAGCGCTCGGGCAGCACTTCCTGTGTAGTGCGCAACCTGCCGGGCTGTTCCTGGCACCCTGGGCCTAGGAAGAGTTGTAAGGGTATACATGTGAACATTGTGTAGGTGAAATGGGATTTCTACCTGGCTTATATGCTTTCATGCACTTTATATCCTTACTTATAGGTTAATGCAGATTCTAACTGTATTACCTACTTGTGCTTCTAGAAGCACATATCAGAAGGGAGTATTGCAGAAAGTAACAGTCCTAACAAGAAATGAGAGCTCACAGGATAGGCACTAAAATTAATCAAAAATAAATTCAAGAATTTATATTATTATTACGGATGAGCAAGTAGTGCTATGTACTTCATTATCCTGAAAGCCTCATTTTATATATATATATATATACACACACACAAGCACACACAAATACATATATATGTATTATAATGAATATATGCAATATAATATATACTAGGTGTGTGTGTGTATGTGTGTGTATACATATATGATAATACATCCTGAAAGCCCAATTTGCTACTCAATAAATGCATTTAGGAAGAGATCATGATATAGAGCCTTGAATGTTCTGTGCTGATTGGGGTCGGCAGCATGATGAGCAGGGCTCAGGTAGGTTCAGAGCTAAAGGCAATAGGCAGAGTCTGCCCCAGGGGACATGGACCATTCCCAGACAAACACCCCATAACAGAGAGGAAGAAGAGGGCAGAATAAGAACTGTAAGATTCATTGAGTGCCTTCTATGGGCCTGACAATGTACTAGGTATTCAGTTATAATACCTAGTTATAATTCAGCTAAGAAAACTGAGGCCCAGAGCAGCTAAGTAATCCCTCTTTGATCCTAAGCAGCCTCTATGTTGAAGGGCACAATGGCATTCTGGACGAAGAGAGGAAATCCAGTGGGACTCTGGTTTCCAGTGCAGTCCCTCTGACTCTTTAGAGAGAGCTGTCCAAGGGAGCATGCTGGCCCCCAGTCCCCTCAGCCAAGTGTATGTCTCTCCCTGAAGTTTGGCTCACCCAGGGTACAGAACAGCCTACTTCCATGAGGAACTTTGCATCAGGTTTAGCAGGAAGTAATTGTTCAATAAATGATTGTGGTTCTTGTTTATATTGTTGTTATGTGTTATTGTTATATGAAGGCTTGGTCTGAGAAATAAGATAAAATAACGAAGCATTTAATAGCAAAGTTATACCCCAAAGCACATTCCACATTTTGTTGTTTAACTTTTGAATACTGGGAGTTCAAAGGAACAATTGTTGAATAGATGAATGAGTGAATGAATGAATGAATGAATGGATGGATGGATGGATGGATGGATGGATGGTTTTAAAACCCCAAGGGAGCTCTAGTTTAAGGAACCCCTATGGAAAATGTGTACTTAAAGCTTTGAAATTGAAATCACTATTATTTTTCTACTTTAGCATTTTTTTCAATACTAGGTTTCCTGCCAGTAAAGTATATGTTATATACTACATACTGTATGTGTGTATATGTGTGTGTATAATATTTATTATATAATTATGTTAATTACATACTTTTATTATTATTACATATAATACTTGCAGTAATACTTATATGTTAACAAGAACAATCTCTAGATTTTAAAGGGTCTTCTTATAGCCTTCACAATATTTCTGGATTATTGAAGGTTTTTTTGTTATTTCAGTATATTTTTCTTTCTAGTATGGAAATAGAGAATATAATAATATCATTGTCTTCAAAATGGTAATAGGATTCTTTGGTACTTTCTATGCATTTTTAAAAGACTATTTGGAATCATCTAAATTTGATTTTTAAGGTAGAATAACTACTGTCTCAGCAAGCATGTGCAATCAGTTTCAATTTGGAAATTACTTACAGTCTTTTAAATTATGCAGAAGAGAATAGGTGATGCCTGATTTAAGGACTGACAGCCTAAAACAAAAAACATACTGAAAGCTCTCCTGAGAGTACATAGATGGTGTGCTTTGTATGCCTGTCTCACTTGTGCCCATGGCATGTACATTTCATGTGATGCCTGGGATGTTTGTTGTTGACAAAAAGAGGATGATCCTTAAAAGAAAGCAGTTTTTTACTGTTGTGATGGCAATGTTATAGTATATTCAGAGCACTGTTTTACTTCAAATTTAACATAGTAGTAACCTGCAAATATTCTAAAAATCATATTCATCATCTTTCTATGATGTAGATTGTGCCTCAAATTTTTTAAATTATTATTAGTAGTATTATTATTTGCAAATAGCATGTCTTGCTGTACAGATTTAGCACGTCCAGGTAGCATTTGAAAGAAGGTATAATAATTTTTCTTAAAAAATAAATATTCTTAATATGTATTTTAGAAATTTATTGTTCAGAAAACCAGATTTGGCCTAACTGAAGCAGGAGATCTATCTGCTGAAGACATGAAGAAAATCCGCCACCTCTCTCTGATTGAATTGACAGCATTTTTTGATGCCTTTGGAATTCCACTGAAGAGAAACAAAACAGAGAAAGTCAAAGGAAGAGGTAATTAAGAGCATTGATTTCTTCTGATTTTAACACTTTGACACATTAGAATAACAGTGCTTTCCTGATTTTTTTTTTCCTCAACTATTTTACAATGAAGACAATGGGATTTTTGGAGTTCCCCTTACAGTCCTGCTGGACAATGACCGAAAGAAGGACCCTGGAGTAAAAGTTCCCCTTGTATTACAAAAAGTGAGTAGAATATAAATGAATGGGGAATTGATAGAGCTTTGTACTTGCGATTTGCTATTTGTAAAGCTGCTAATGAATTTTCCTTTAGTTTTAAAGACACTAAAGCCAAGCCCTATTAGAGTTCACGACCTGGTAATTTTCCACTTTCTTCCATGAAGCCCCATACATCCCACAGGTTCTGGGACCAAGTTTGCCTTGCTGTGAACTTTTGGAGCCTGTTGCATTGTTTGACCATAAAGCATCAAGTGGTGGATACATGGCTTCCTTTAGTTATATCTCTTTCCAATATTTTTAAAAAATATTATTTGTGTGTATGTATGTGTTTGTGTATATTTATCATTATGTCTGAGATAAAAGAGTGGCCATTAATTATTAGCAATGTATTTACAAGTATTTGCTGAGATATATCATAGGTTGAGTGTTTCAAAATGTGTGTTTGTAATCATTTAAATTAGTTTTCCAAACAAAGCTTAATAAAGTATAAAAATCAGCTTGTTATGGTAGTAATTTTTTTAGGTATAACTAGGAAAATAGGATAGAGTTAAACATAGAAGAGTTTTGGTTTTGGAAGTTTTGAAAGTGATATTATTTGAACTAGCATATGCTAATATCCATCATTGGTGAATGGCATGTGTGCTTTAAGTTGTGTTTTTTTATACCCAACAGTTGATACCAGTTTACCTGAGTATGCATTTATTTAACACTGACATCCAGTGGCACTATTAAAATTGCAAGCCCTAAACACAAATCCTGTTGAATTTTAAATTGAGTTTTTAAGTGATTTGTTAAGATATTGACTGAGAGAACATATACTTACGTTATTCACAGTAATAATTCTCCATCTCTTCACTATCTTTTTAAATTTTGCTACTAGCACCTCAAGTTGAGCTATTCCTCAAATCAGATGATTAATTGGCTGCCAACTGGGAGAAGGGAGGATGGCAGAGGATGCCAGTGATATGCCAGCGTACATGGGGCCTGTCCGTAGGGGCCTTTCCTGCTCAGGGCTGTGCCAGTGTCCTCTAATCCTGTCACATTTCATCAGCACTGAGCAGCCTGAGGAGCTTGGTGTTATCTTCTCCCTTCTCCTGATGAGGAAACTAAGGCATAGTAGAGTAAGATAGAGTAAGAGAGGACAAAGATTCTGCCCTTTGTCCTCTGTGTACAGGATGGAGTTTAAAGACAATGAATAAAAATCCAAGACTGAGAAGATTAAATACATGAATTTATATTGCTATGTAAGTGCAGAAGCCTAGCACAGGACATAGCAAATAGAAGGTGCACAATAAATGCTAGTTAAACTAAATGTGCATTTATATTGCATTAACAACCAATAAATATCAGCTATTACTCATACTGATGTTAACTGTTCCTCATTGAGACAGCTTGAGATATTACCTTTCTGCTCCTATGGGAGAACCTTTCCTTGTGAGTGTGTTTCTTCCTCCTAAATATCTATTTCTCTCCATACCTACAAGAACTACCCTAGTTTCAGGCACGATCATATCTTGAAGGGAAAATAGCGAGACTCTAGATCTGCTCTTGTGAGAAGTTGGGCAAGTATGCATCATTACCATGCCTCAGCCTCCTCAGCAATAGAGTGAGAATTCTAATAACCTTCCTCATAGGATTATTGTGAGGATATAAATGAGCTGACTGATGTAAAGTACCGAGAACCATATCTAACACAAAATGCACACAATTAATGTTAGTTGTTTATTGTTATTATTATTACTACTGCTATTATTTTAACACCATCATTATCACCATGAGAGTTCATGAGAACTATAAACCTGTGCAATTCCTACCTCCTTGGTCATATTTGTAGAGTTCCTATAATTTCTTAGCCATAGTGGTTGTAAGTACTGATAGTGAATTTAGAATTTTTTCTTATTGGTCAGCCCGCAGAAAGAGATGTAGTAATCACCTCTTAAACTAATTAACTGGCAGCATACTTGAGTGGTGAAGAGCACAAGCCTGAGAGAGTTAGGGCCGTTACATTTACGGTTAATCTTGGCAAAGTTATGTAACACCTTTAAGTCTCCTTTCCCTCATGAAGACCTCATAGGGTGGTTGCAAACACTTAACAAGGCGTTCAAGTGCCAAGCACGTATAATGCTTGGCAATTTATCATTTGTTGTCATCAACAGTATTATTTTAGATGTTTGTAATCATATTGGAGGTATTTATTTTTGTAATGTATCATTGCTTTCTAGTTTTTCGAGAAAGTTGAGGAATCGGGTTTGGAATCTGAAGGAATTTTTCGACTCTCAGGGTGTACTGCCAAAGTCAAGGTAACAAACATTTTCTCTCTTCCTAGTTAGAGATCTGAGCTAGCTAGACCCAGTTCACAGAAGCATCAGTCCTTTGTTGTTGTTTTGACACTATCACTTGTTCCTACCTAGTTTTCCTCTATACCTATGATGAGATGTTGTTCCATCATCCTGAGTTGTGTATTCTTTTAAAACAAAGATTAAAAACCAATAACAATGAAATGACACCAATTTACCACCAAATGCCTTTAGTCTGAAAAGTTGAAATGTCCCGTTGTTGTTTTGAGGGTTAAACATTTTAGTTTGCTGTGTTCATCTCAGTCGTGGAATTCATTAAGCCAATTATTATAAGAGCCCTTATTTCCATCACCACTTGCTTTATATTCAGAAATGTTCTTTGGCTCTCCTTTTAATGTCCTTATAAGAATATAAAGTCCTCATAAGAATTTGTAGGAATGACCATAACTGCTACAATACTCAGCAGTTCTGAAACCAAATTCCATTTTTAAGTGTTAGTTTCTACAAATAAAAGCATCCATGCAACGTGAATTCTTTTACTTTGCTTTCTTACTTATAACTGGTGGCAAACTCTATCGGTCAGTAAGGGAAAAAAATCATTAGAAAAGCAAAGCTTTTCTCATAAATTTCCAGGAAAGTATACTATTTTATTTCCCAGTGGGCACTCACAGTGAAGAATCCCTGCCTGTCTGCCTGGGGTCGCTCTGGCTGGTGGACATGGAAACATGAGCAGTTTCAAATGATGAATTTCTCAAGAAAAAAGTCTCAAGGAGAGGGAAACATGAACCTGCTTCTCTGTAGAACTATTAAAAGGAAATGTATAGAGGTGAAAAAGCATCTCTCTATTAATTTATTTTAGTACATTTTGAGAAATTCTATCAGAAGTCTCCGAGTTTTTATGTGGAAATGTGACAAGATGTTTTTCTAAGTGGAAACTGAGAATAAATAGGCTATGAGTGACTATTGGAAGCTCCAGAAAACAGACGCTGGGACAAAGTTAGGAGAAGAGGGTTCTTGCAGGATAGCGTTTCTGAGAGAGAAAGGGATGGAGGCTGGATCGGGCAGGCTGAGCCTCAGACCCCAGTTCAGGCCTGACTGTTCATCCTGCCCCGCGGAGCAGCCCTGCGCTGGGCACAGTGGGCCAAGCCCCACCCGACACCACACTTGGTCATTGCCAGGGCTCTCTTGGAGGAGGGGCTGAGGCAGATCAGAAGATCCTAACAGCAGGCAAGTCAATTACCTGAATTTTTGCAGATGATTGGTAAGTTCCTTTTTGAAGGGAGATCAGAGCAGTGCACCCTACTTTGCCAGTAGCAATAAGGAGCAGAGCATTTGGGGGAGTCATGACTTCCCTGGAGGTAGAGATTACTAAATCCTGGCACAAGTTCTTTTGGAAGGCAGGAAAATCCCTAATCCTCCTTAAGGTTTATACTTTCTAAATTGAATCTGTCAGGTTCTCACAGGCATGGTTGTTATATACTGCTGAACAAACGTGTCCTCTGTGAGAGGATGAAAACCTACTTTAGGTTAAACCTTTGGTTATATTTGTAGAGTCAGAGAATCAAAATACAAACAAAGAAACACATTTTTTTCTTAAAGAGAATTAGACCATCTCCCTCTAAACTTCTCTTCAAAATTGGGAAGCTCTGGTTGAACATATTCTTACTGGCTCCTCTGTGTGCGTGTGCATGTGTGTGAGAGAGAGACAGAGACAGAGAGAGAGAAGCATGATAAATATGATTTAAAGTTCTCTTTTTAAATAACCAAGAAGAGAAAACATTACATGACATTTCTTGTATGCACGAATGTTAACATCATAGCAGCCGTTACTTTTCTTTAGCTAATCTTTGACAAAAATGCTGATCATAGGCTAATAACGCCTTCGAAGTGTTCTTATAGGCACACGCATTTCTAAATCGCATTTGGTTAGAAGTCCCTTTTCTCCTCTCATCATTTTTATGTAGTTTCAGCCTATTTATTCCATCTCTGATTAGTCCAAAAAATGAATCCAGATGTTTTCATGGTTTGAGCTCCAGGAAAGTCAATGTGAAAGTAATCTGGGCCAGTGAACAAAAACAGGGGAATATTGCAGTTAGAAAGGCATTGTAACTTGATATATTAAAGGGGTCTTTATTTCTCTCCTTGTACAAACTTTAAACTATTTTTTTGTACTTTCATCTGTTAGACTATTTTTTCTAGGAATATGCATGGGGAAAGACCATTACAAAAAATAGCCATTATAATTATCCTCTAATTGTGCCAAGTGGATGACACTAACGCTGATGTATTGGGAACATCCCCTCAGCCCACTCTTGTGTTGTCAAGGCCTGGGAAGACTAACAGGAACGTAGTGCTGAGAGGAAGCTGCTAGTGTTAGCCATACATGGTCCACAGCAGCGGAGTCTGTTCTTGTATTTCAGGCCTCAGATCATTTAGAACCAATTTCATATTTTGGTGTTTCAATGATTTTCCCCCCAAATGACAGAAATTTGAGCCAAATACTAGGGAGTATATTTTATGGAAGAAAGCATACTGTTTGGTATGCAAGATTTTCTTTTTTGACTCATGAAATTATTCTGAGGCTTCTCTAAATGTTTTATAATTAGTGACCTGGTGTGCTGCTTTTCCTTCCTGAACTGGTTTTTGAAGCTGAAGGCAGGCCGCTTGCATTGTTATAAAACTACCCCAGAAATGGAAACAGACTGCCTGTTTGCCAGAGGAAATTTAAGGACATGGCTCTGACCCTTGCATAGAGTTCTGATTAACATTGGACAAAAAACATGACTTCTTTAACCTTTAAATGCTACCTGCCTTTGGCAAGGTAAATGCAGCACGGGATTTATATGGCTTCACATTTAGGACCACAGAAATATCAGCTCTACTCCCCTGCTCCACAGTCTGCTCTGGTTGGAACCAATAGAGGACATTCTTTCTCTGAGTTTTGTTTTACATCGGCTGTCCAGACAAGACAAAATGACATTATTACCCAAATATCCACAACCACATACACATGCATTTCCCCTAGAAATAATACAAAAGGTTATAACAGAGAAAGGGGACATACCAGCTGCTGGCATTTATTGAGCACTGATTGTGCGTCAGGCCCTGCCCCCTGAGCTTTACATTGTGTCATCTGATTTCATCTCTTTGAGGTCATTTTAATATTCCTATTATACAGTGAGAAACTTGAGACTCTGGCTATACAATAAGTGAGTTGTGGAAGGAATTGGGGTAAAAACCTGAAGAATCTGGTTATAGAGCCTGGCTCTTGACCTTGGAGCCGTATTGCCTTTTAGGTGACAGGGAGCCACTGACAAGTGGGGATGATGGCCACATTAGTGTTCAGGTAGCTTCCTATGGCAGAGGTATGTAGGAAATGAATTTGAATTATTCTGCCCTCACTGGCACTTCCTGCCTATTTGAACACTGTTTCTCCCTTACTTTACAGCAGTGGTACCAAGCAATGGATGAAAAATATTTTTCTCCTCCTGTATTTCCTATTAACAGCATTACCATTTGCCCACCACTCTAGCTAGTATTCTGAGATGAGACTCATCCTGGACTGTTATTTCTCCCACTGAGTCTCATGTTCAATTCATCACTGATTTTTAAATTTTTTTTCCTTTTATCTTTTGAACCCCTTCACCCATTTGTCCCCCCTTTCAACCCCCTTGTCTTTGGCACCCACCAGTCCATATCTATGAGCTTTTAGTGATGTCACAATAAAAGTGAGACCATACTGTACTTAGTAATTTGCTTCTTCTATCTGACTTATTTTACTCAGTATAATGCCTTCAGTGTCCATCCATGTTTTTGTAAATGGCAAGATTTCATTCCTTTAAAAGATAACTGAATTATACACACACACACACACACGTATATATACACACATATATATCAGATGTACGATTTGCAAGTATTTTCTCATATTCAGTAGGTTGCTTTTTCATTGTTGATAGTTTCATTTGCTGTTCAGAAGCTTTTCAGTATGATGTCATTCCACTTGTTTATTTTTGCTTTTGTTGCTTTTGTTTTTGGTGTCAGGTTTTAAAAACCATCACCAACATCTATGTCAAGGAGCATACCACCTATGTTTTCTTCTAGGAGTTTTATGGTCTCAGGTCTTACATTCAAGTGTTTAATCTATTTTCAGTTAATTTTTGTGTATGATATAAGAAATGGGTCAAGTTTCATTCTTTCGTATGTGGCTGGCTTTTCATTGTTTCCAACACCATTTATTAAAGAAGCTGTTCTTTTTTCATTGTATATACTTGGCTCCTTTCATCATAAACCAATTGATCTTGAATGTGTGGTTTTATTTCTTGGCTCTTTATTCTGTTTCAATAATATGTGTGTCTGTTTTCATGCCATTACCATACTATTTTAAGTACTATTACTTTATAATATAATTTAAAATCAGGAAGTATGATTCCTCCGGCTTTGCTTTTCTTTCTCAAGATCGGTTTTATGTAGTTTCAAACAATATTTAGGATTGCTTGTTCTATTTCTTTGAAAAATGCCATTGGAGTATTTATAGGGATTGCATTGAAGCTGTAGACTGCATTGGGCAGTATGGACATTTTAACAATATTGATTCTTCCAGTTCATGAGCACAAAATATCTTTCCATTTGTTTCTTCTTCAATTTCTTTTATGAGTGTTTTGTAGTTTTCAACATACAGTTCTTTCAAATCCTTGATCAAAAAATGTTTTAGATATTTTCTTTTTGATTCATTTTTAAATGGGAATATGTTCTTTATTTCCCTTTCTGATAGTTTTGTATTAGCATCTAGAAACACAACAGATTTTTGCATATTAATTTTGTGTCCTGCCACTCTACTGAATTTATTAGATCTAACTGTTTTTAAGGCAACTTTAAGGTTTTCTATATATAAGATCATGTCATCTGCAAATAGTGATTGTTTTGCTTCTTCCTTCCTGATTTGAATGCTTATTTATCTTTTTATTTGACTAATTTCTCTGGCTAGGACTTCTAACACTATG